CACAAAGACCAAAGTCAAATAAATAAATGGATGATGATGATTATGAGCTCTAGGAGTTTAAATGTGCAAAAAAAACTAATGAAATCGCTGTTTTAATGACTGTTTGTAAAGACATAGCCGCGATAATTTAAACTAGGAAAAGAGTGAAATTATATCGAGCCATGTGCTTAGAAATGAGTGTTTCTGCACTATCCAGATATACGGCACCGAGACCGAATTAGAGTCCGCTAAGAACAACAACATGCTAATTACAAAGTCACGATCTCTATAATGACCCCGTACAGTAGATGATGTATGTAAAGAAGACGTATTTTCTGGAGTGCAAAGATAAACAAAACGTATACTCATACCGCAAAAAATGTCTATAAACCGGCAGTTGACTTCTGACTTCTTACTACCATCACCACACTGTATTTCATATTCCACCACTTTCACAGTACTCATCTCATCTTTTCTCTGCCCCCGTGTCTGTCTCTTTTACGTCTTTGAAACACTCTTCTGTTCCCTCCCCCTCTCGACTTTTTTTCCTCTTTGATATTCCTCCTCCTCTCTGTGAAGCCTGAAGTCAACTAAAAGGTTAATGATAACTATCAAAACGCCTGCCATTTGACATAAATAAATAAATAAGATAACCAAAATTCCTTACAGAAATATATTTTCGGATAAATTTGATGATCATCGAGATGTGTACACTACCCTCAAGGTCAAATATTTGCATTAGGTTAGTTCCGAGGGGGGTAGAAAAAGTGCAACCGAATGCGTCTTATAAAACCTCATTTTCCGTAAAAGTTCGAACCAAGATGGCTATCCTTCATATATATATATATATATATATAAATCGATATTATAGAACCGCTGATGTGTTAAAGAAATAGCTGTGCACTCAGATAAACCCATTCTTACCAATGTCCTAAGTAATACGTAAAGATTCCACCAAAAAAAAACATTAAAGGCGATTTAGGTAATAACGCTCTCGAAATAGCCTTCGATTAGATAGATTATCAGACGATTTTTTTTTCAAAATGATGCCGTCAATCAAAAAAATCATCTATGACCAGTGGGGGTGCTATTTATTTATTTCAAATGGCAGGCGTTTTGATAGCTATCATTACCCCTTTAATTGACTTCGGGCTTCACAGAGGGAAGGTTCATCAAAGTAGCAGAAAGTCGAGGGGTGGGGAACAGAAGAGCGATTCACAGATGTAAAAGAGGCAGACACAAGGGCAGAGAAAAAGGTAAGATGAGTACGGTGAAAGCGGTCGAATATGACAAGCAGTCGTGCCATGGTATTTTGAAGTCAACTGCCGGTTAATAGACATTTTTGCCGTATGAGTATACGTTGCCCAAAGTGCACCACGTGGAGGTAAGTCATGCTTATTTGGACGAAAATTCTTTCTATCCATTTGGAAGATTATTTTGTGGTGCTATATTTACCTTAAAAGCTACTAAGTATACTTAACCAGTTTTATTTCAGATCAATAATTTGATAGCAAATTTAAGCTCAATACTAGTAGATCATCAACAAAAATAAAACAAAAACGGAAATAAGATTTATTTCATGCCCTCCGCCCTCCCCCCAATTTTAGAGAGACTTTTAGAGTGTTTAAAAATCGATTGATCCTTGCACTTGAACTTAGAGTTCTACTATAAGTGATTTGAAATGGAAAGTGCATTCCAGTGCGTTTCAAAACTTCAATGAGGAGAAAATTAAGTTGGTAACAAAACAAATGTTGCTGTCGTTGAAATTGATTTTCTAGTCCAATATTACTGATTGGGAAGATTATAGGAAGCTACAAATGAGTTCAAGTGGCATGACTGCGAGCTAAATTGAATTAAATGGCCAATGGGGTCAGGGGTTCTCCAAGACTCAAATCCTGAAGATTGAATTTAGGAGCATTCAGATGTTACATGGACGTAGACATATCCCTTGGAGAATTAAAAATCGTAAATATTCCCGACTTTATATCATAATTCACCACAACTCATCTATTTCACGTGCTTATACTCAATTAAAGAGTACAAGTATTTTTTAAATTATGCTTCATTAATAATGTCCAACTCTATGGTCCCATTTGCGTCAAGAGTGTGCGCTAATAATACTTGCAGCCACTGAATGCACCTTGCATAAACTTACTTCCAAGCCGGTTGAAAGAAGACGCCTTCGAAAATTCGGGTAAGATGTACGCGTGTAGTGTGGTGGTGGCATCATAATGCATAAACTGCACTCTTAAGTATTGTATTGGCTCTTTCTTAAATAACTGAAAGCGTACTGTTCGCGAAATGTGCGTCGATGGGTGCGGATCGGGTGACACCTGACTAAGCAATTGAATATGCATCATATTACGCCAATGACGCATTACCAATCTTTAGAAAATGGCTTCAGATGACAAAAGATGTGCCCTTTAATGAATCTCTTGTTTTTAAACCTTTTCTTTTACGCTTTATTTTAGAAGCTTTAAAGACTGTTAATAACCGAGTGTCTTCCTTTATATTTTATTAGGCATTTCGTTAGAATTTCAGGACTCCAAGAATCTTCCGCGCACCAAATGTTGCATAGTCACCAACACAACTTGTTGACCAGAGTAAAGCATCCATACCGCACACACACACACACACACACAAACTACTTGCCTAATGACCATCGTACAATTAGTAATACAATTATGAAAACTCACTTTAATTACCATGAAACATCGATCTGAAATTGCCATGAAACTAATCCACTGATGGGTGACTGAAAAGATCATTTAGAGCCAACATGCCACTCTAATGTTGAATTTCCTTTTTCGCCACCAATGCACCTGGAGGCTATTTGAAATTAATAAATAATTGCCGAAATTCTAGCAATCGACGTTTTTTTTAAAAAAGCAATTATTATTTGACGTGTTCTCAACGCGCGCTCTACCGGTCTGCCTGGATTTTGTTAACTCGTCTTAATCTAAAACCCCATTGGCTATTGAGCAATTGATCTTCCTATTCAGCATATACAGAGCGAAAATATTCATGTGTTCAAATTACTTGCTAATCCACTGAAAGCATCGGTTGTGGAGACTCTAAAGGCGATAAGAGATTCCTAGTGCATTCTTTGATTGACGAGTTAGTAACTCAATTTTGACGATAATGATAAAGTTGCTTTAAAAAAACCTCTCTCCCCCCGATGCATTGTAAACGCATTAAAGGACATTTTATCCGTAGTGCTTAATTTTTTCCTTGCCTTAAGCTAAGAGGAGGTGATTTTCAACTTCCATTCGAAAATTGGTGACAAACTTACAAAATCTACTCTTTTATCAATTATCGCAGCATTGGGCAATGGAATTCACTACTTCGTAGCCCAGCCCGAAGTTAAGTTTAGTGCTGTGAATTATTTATTTGAATAAAAAATGTGTTGTAGTCTACTGCAAATATACATTCAAACCAGTTAAAATGCTAAGGAAACATCGAAATATTAAGGACGCCCGATTGACATGTGAAGTAGATTTCTAGTTTTGACGCAATACGACATTCTCGTTTAACAAATTCCAGGTGGGGTGTGCGATAGACTTACCTCCACGTGGTGCACCCTGGGCAACGTATACACAAACGGCAAAAAAGTCTATTAACTGGCAGTTGACTTTTCACTTCAAAATGCCATCGCCCTATTGTATGTCATACTCGGTCACTTCAACGGTACTCACCTCACCTTATTTCTGCCTTTGTGTTTGTCTCTTTTACACCTTTGAAATACACTTCGGTTCCCCCCTGTATCTGTCTCTTTTACGTCTTTGAAACGCTCTTCTGTTACCTCCCCTCTCGACTTTGATGTTCCTTCCCCTTTGTGAAGTCTGAAGTCAACTAAAGGGCTAATGATAACCATCAAGACGCCTGCCATTTGATATATATAAGTAAATATTGTGTTATTAAAGGCAGTATGAAATTAATCGAAAAATTCCCTTATAAGCTGGGGCCAAGATGCCCACTTGCCAAATTAACTTCAAATGGAGACGAAAATTCCCAAATATGTGAAAAAGGATTTTAAAAAAATGAAAACTTCACAAACGCAACGATTCAGCGATATGTTTGAGCACAACAGATCATTATTGTGTTAAAAATTTATGGGCATAAGCTGACCTCGAGAAAGTACACCCCCCCCCGATTCAAGTTCAAGAAAATATTGAATTGTATGAAGTACAGTGGAATTCCCTGGCGTTGTCTCCTTCACTGAAATCGTCTAATTACCCGAGAAGTAAGAATTGCTCTTGTTTAAGCAATTATGGCCTTTCTGGTAAGTTTTAAACATGGATTATAGCGAGTGTTATCGACTCCTTATAAAAGATGGTAATACAATTTATTCTGGCATCCATTGATTTCAGACAAGAGTAGTTAAAATGCCATCTATCATCACAAGTTACCCACAGTCATGGAGCTTAAAGGCCTCTGAAATGAAATTCAATTATAAACCGAAAACACAAGTGAATTTCAGAAAAGAACAAAGTGTTTAGGCATGTTCAACGATTAAAGATGGTTAGTGAACAAGAGAAAACCTCAAATTCGATAGACCAAATTAGTATAAGGTAAAGGAGCCTCAGTTTAAAAAAAAGTTTTTTTTTGGCATAAAGAAGGAGACATAGTTTAAAATTTATTGAGCGTGTAAAGTTGCGATAGGCATGCCAACTTTCGAGAATGTACTAAAAGCAAATACATGCTAATTGTCATGTCAACACGTAAGGTAAAGACAGTTTAAGAAGACACACTCGCAATTAAAACAGGAAAAGCGAAAAAGAGTGATCACGACAAGCAGGACTAGACTCGGCGTTTTGATCTTACCGGCAATCCCTTCCGTGTCTAATCAATAAAAATTAATCACTTCGGATGTTAGCAGTAAGCGAGGCTTAGCTGTGACCCATTTGGAAACAATTGCCTACTATGTCTCTTTCGTTAATATAATAATACAGACGATCAGCGTGGGAGAATGAATACTTGCTTAGTCTAGACATTAAGTAGTTATAATAAATGCATGTGTGTCACGAAGACGTGGTCGTGCGCAGAAGAGCGGGCTTGTTTAAAGGGAGAAAGATGTGGCCTTGAGAATTACCCAATCGTGGGTGACCGTGGTCACATTTAAACGTGGGCACTTGCCATAGCACTGAAGCAAAGTGGTGTTGCGGTGATATGTTCTTGGAATTTACAACACCGGTGGATTTGCAATTGGCGTGGTTTGATAAAGCAGCGAGAGGAAAGTGATCAATATTACGGTCAATGCACGAAATGACTGGTAGATTTAACTTAATCGATGAAGATAACTGCATAGAAGTAAAAATGCTTGGATATTGAATGCATTTGGTTTGAGTTTTAAAAGATGCAATGATTCCTTACAAATTTCATCCAAACGATTATGAACATCTCGGCTATTTCTATTTGCCACTCATAAGGAAAAGAAAGAATAAACCTTATGTACAATTAATCATCTCAAAACGTATATTAAAGGAGAATAAATAATTGGGCCATATCACGTTAGAAACCATTTTCAAATAACCCAATGGGAATTAGGTTCGGATTATTAAAAAAACGGACAATACGTTGGAAGAGGATACGGTAATGTAGGACATTTGGGTATCGAAGCTCTACAATTTTACTTAAGACGACTATAAAACAATTTTTAATTTAATTATAGGATAATTCAAAATAGACTCATTTGAATATCGCTTGGGTGAAATATTGGAAAGTTACTGACCTGTTTAAGAGGTTTTTTAAACTGTAAAACTTCTGCGACTCTGATGAGAGTAGACCAGCTGGCGTGTAGTTTAACAAACACGAGATCCTGACGGGCATGAATAGCAGCTTCAAGTGGATTAGCGTGATCATCGCGATAAAATTCCCCATTAGAGGTTAAATCACCAACGGGAGATTCCGGATGCACCAATTGGAAAGACGCATCATCTTTGAAACCGGCACTTTGAGGACCGGTCTTGGCAAGAATTTCGCCTTGGCAATTCTCTACCTCGATTTCAATCATTTGTGCAGCAAGGGCAGAGAGAAAGGCATAACGCTTTGACTTAATAGTGTCATCCATTTCACCGGATTTAAAGACGAGAACGTAATCTATGCGTCTTTTTCCATCTTGAAAGAACATCTCCGGTGAAGTCTTAATTAATATAAAAAAATATATAAGGTACAACCATAAGAATAACATAAAATATGGGTCATAATCGAATACGTTGGAAATACTTACAGAATAATATTCATTGCCATCAAGATTAAATAATATAGACTCGTCACCCTTCTTGACGCGTGATATTGGCGAGTTGTGTACTAAAAAGAGTTACACGATAATGTAAAACCTACTTAATTCGGCAAACTTTTTAAGTTTTATTTTGTTATTCATATCTCAATCAAAGCTAAAGAAATGGATTAAGGGGCTTTCGCGAATTGCATACGACCCGCGTAACTCATAAACTGATGATTTAAGGACTCCGTCTAATTGGCTGAACTGATGATAGATGATGATATACATAATTTAAAGGTATATCTTTAAAATGGCAATAAATTCGGAGTTAAAATAGATTTACTATTTATATGATTCTAAAATTTGCGCTCATAAATATGTTTTCTAGTTTTCACTCACATTTATTTTTCAAAGTCATTATGTCAGCTAATAATACATGGAGAGATAAAAGGGTTTAAATCTTATGGAATTTTAATTTTATTGTTAATTTTCCAAATAATGCATGTACGTTCCAATGTTGTGCCATGTAAAATTGGGTAATGTGAAAGTGGAAATTTTTAAGGACCTCAAACTAATAGATATAATTTGTTCTATAAATATTTTTGACTACTTACTTTCCAATTATAATTTAACAATCAATATTCGATTTATATCTCTTTACTGTAAATCTAAACCTCTAATACTTCAGTACAATTATGATTATATTATTTGGAAAGAAAAAAATAAAGTAAGTATTTTTACCATAAATTAATCACAACAACCAAAAGTTGTAATTCGCTATCTGTTCCAATTTGAAGTTGATTATGCATCAACCTCATATCATTCGTTTCATTTCGGCATATTCAGGTAAAGTTTTCGACACATGCATATTTGGTTCCAAAAAATTATACGCATTGAAGGCCTTAAATATTACCTTTTATATCGATGTACGATTCATATGAATATTGCTTGATTTTAAATCCGTCGTGGATTGAGGAAATTTTGTTGATCCACATTTAGTCTCCTTCAAATAGCATCGCAGTTTTCACTTAAAATTTGACAACCTTTTAAAGCAATGGTCAAAATCAAAATAGGCGATAATGGAATGAATTGGTATTACTGATTAAAAAGTAGACGGTCAAAATTTTAGGCTCAGGAAAATGCATTTAATTGAGATTGCTTGATTCAAAGCATGCAAATATGGTAATATTTATGAATCAATTTGTAAACAAGAATTAAATTGCAATTTTAGGCATTTACTCAGGTGCTATATAAGGAAATTTTTGGGTTTTAATAATGGTCCAAAAATCTTATTAATAAGAATCAAGCTTTAATAAAACGAGTTTTCATATGACATTGTTTCTTATACTTGTTGTGAATTTGTAAACCATAGTATTTAAAAATGTAAAATTCCGAGATTAAATATAATTATAATGTGAATGATTAAAAGGCCTTGAATGCAATCGGTTACAGACACCGCGCTTCATCTAGCTGTTGATAGTGTTGTTTTCGCCCCTGGTTGTTTTTCCTGTTTTTTGTCGTATTTACCTCTTATTCTTTGAATTAAATGACCCGTAAAAATAAAAAGTCAGTCGCTGAACGAAATAAGCAATCATTATTAAATGGTAAGTGATTAACTCCCATTTACATATAATAATATTTTCAGGCCGACCTAATTCTGACAATGGCGACACTCAACCCGCCCCCACTAACTCTGTTTCATCTGCTGAAATTGAGTTATCACTTTTTAGAACCATCGAAAATATCCGCAATGAACTTCTTAATTCTAAATACTCTTCAACCCGAACACTTTCTCTTATCTATCCCGATTTTCCACCCTGCCCGCGTTATCGACTTCAGCCGAGAGGTCTTATTAATGCTCGAGGCATCTGCTATTTAATTTCCAGCATTCAAGCACTTTTCAGTCTTCCGCCTTTCATTGCCTTGCTTCATCATATTTCCATTTCAATTCACAATTTGTTTGATCAACCTGGTCAGTTGAGGGACATCTGGAAGGAATCAGATTCGACAACAGTAGCTCTTTTGCGTTCACTGTGAGTGTTTTTTTAATTTAATAATTTGAATGACTGATTCGATGTTTTAGATAGGATAGATGCTTATTTATTTATATCAAGTGGCAGTCGTTTTGATAGTTGTCATTAGCCCTTTAATTGACTTCAGGCTTTGCAGAGGGGAAGGAACATCGAAGGGAAAAAAGTCGAGATTGGGGGGGGGGGAACAGAAGAGTGTTCCAAAGATGTAAAAGATACAGACACGAAGGTAGAAAAAAGGTGAGGTGAGTACTGTGGAAGTAGCCGAATATGACATACAGTGGGTTGATGGTAGTAAGAAGGGAGAAGTCAACTACCGGTTAAGACTTTTTTGCCGTATGAGTAAACGTTGCCAAAGCTGCACCACGTGGAGGTAAGTCTATCCCACACCAATTGATATAAAATACCATTTCATATTAATTCTAGTCAGCCAATGCTTTCCACGTAAATTTTAACTGGTGCTGCTTATTATGAGACATTTATGCCTTAAGAACTAGGAGCTAAGACAAAATTAAATACGGTCATCTAAAGTTACTTGGGGATTCCGTCCAAATTAGACCCTGGATGTCACTTTGTAAACTTGATGTTTTCTTAAGTGAGAAAATTGAGGGTCGAAATGTGAGAGGAGAAGAGCAGTTGATTAAGAGGCTATAGGAAGTAGAGGGAACTCCATTGTGTTTTCAAGAGCCTATTGAGCTGGCAATTAGAATGCACAGGAGTGAGTCCTACAAGGTACTCAATTCATTTATAGTTTCCTGAGTGGGAATTTCGGGTATTGATTTCATAGGGCGGTGGTTTATACTCGTCTGCATGTCGGTAAGCCATTTTGCACTAAAATAGTTGATTAATGCGTGCATTCGCATCTACCAATTTGAACTTTTTGCGCCTATGTAACTTCAATTTACTACCCAAATAATCGGTATTTTAGTGATGAATAAATTAGCAAGGTGATACATGATCGCATGAATTTATTATAGCGGAGGTTCTTTGAAACAATTTTCACTATTTAATTTCGATATGTTGTCGTTTTTAATAGACTGCTGCTTCTAGATGAAATGGTTCCTTATCGGCCCGGAAATGATGCTACCGGTGAACCGGATTTACCGCACGAGTTTGGATTTCTTCCAACGCAAAAGGCTTTACAGCTTGATCCCAAGCTTTTCTCAATTCTCACTTTTGAACCAGGTCAACAAGATGCTGGAGTAAGTTCGTATTCTTTGTCTCTTACACGACGATTATTGAACCTATTTTCTGTTTCAGGTTCCAAAACGCATTTCTTAGTGCATTATTTTTCTGCTGATTAGTTATTGTTCATTTTGTTGATTAAGTGGATGTAGAATTAGATTTCTCGTTTTTTTGGATTTCGAGTTTGATTGTGAGTGGGGATTTCGATTTTCTGCCGGTTTAAATTCCATCTTAATGCAGGCTTCTCAATCAGAAATATTTACCTTTTTTGGAGAGTAATTTCTAACTTATATATCTATCTATTTTATCTTATTCTGAACTAATTTCTGAGACATGGGCTCTTATTCAGGCTGGTGATTATTTGGTTCCAAAAATACTTCCTTGAAATTGAATTTTCCGTTTATCCGCCCTGGGTGAATTTTTCGGAAAACTCCCCGGTAGCAATTGCGTGTTTTGAGCAAAATTTAGTAATTTTATAAAGCAAGTAAATATCTCCTTTACTAATCTAGTCGCCTAGATGCCCAGCATTCTATTGAATTTTTATCTTAATTCATGTGTCTGCACTGCTCTGTTGGTTGGTTAGTTTACCTTGTATCTATTACACCTCGGGCAAGCACCTCAGTTGTAAAACTTCAATGATTGCCTTCGTTTTATTGTTGCTATTACCTCAATTTTATTCGCAGCTGTCCCCATTCGATTTGGTGTTCGCAGTTTTATTAAGGTCACTAATTAGATATCTCATATTTGGAAATGTGGGGTTATATGTGTTTGGGCTTATTTCTTTTTTTATTAGTTTATTACAATATATATTTGTGCGGTTTCTTCATTCTGATTTCTAATAATAGGAAAACGCTGGCAAATAATGTATTCCATTCAATTCCATTGCGTTCGAAATCCATTCACACGGATTTGGGAAATAGTTCTTTCTTATTCTGTTAGTTTTCTAAAAGACTCAGTAAAAGTTTGTGAGTTGAGTTCATTATTCCAGTTATTTTGTTTTCTATGTGATTTATAACCTACCATCATCAATTGACGCTTATTCACGTGGTTGTCTAAGCCACGAAGCTATATAGATTCTTGCTTGAGCTCGATTGAAGCGGTACAATCAATGCCATTCGACATATTATCTTAATTAGTTATTATTATTATTATTTTTCTCCTTTTTGATCCGCTGACTTTCTTTTCCCATTTTGATCTTTGTTGCGCCAGTTAACCAATCGTCTGTGTTGTTTTAGACCATTTTAAATGACCGCATTTTTTGTTTATATTTGAATGATAGGAGAAATGGGAAGACGCTCTCCATTTCAAAAATCATATGCTTTAACTATTAGTCAGTTACTATTATCACGAGAAGGGAATCGCGAAGATGTTTTTTTTTGAAATTCTATTTGCATACGAGTACTTATCTGCAGTGTTAGGACTCGATTTAGTCTCCAGTATAAAATTTACGGCCTGGGCTTTTCCATTGCCAATCCGGGTGGCATTGTACTGACCTGAATATGCGTTTCATCTCATTTGAACATTTTACTACCTGAAAATCAAGATTTTTGGGTGCTTTTCAGACATCCTTCATTTATGCGTTCCGAAAATCATAATTTATTTATATCAAATGGGTAACAGGAAAATTGTTGATTTTCCGTTAGAGCTTATGACATCAATGCCCTTGGGAGTTATATAGTTGCCAGAGTCGATGAGAACGATTCAATTTAGCGCATTTCAATAAGGAAAATACGCAGTCTTGTTACCTGTTTGCATTTAACTCCTCATGGAAAGTAGCGACATTCCTAGGCATCGTATACAAATATTTCATCTGAGTAACTCATCTAGCGTATTCCTTTCAGGACTGTATGTCACGAATAATTACTCAACTGCATGAAGAAATGGCAACTCTTTTACGCAAATTCAAGCCGGCAGAACTCGTGAATGAGCTATCTGACCAGTTGGAAGATGATGGATGGTTCACAGTGTCTGCCAAAGGCAAGAAGATTAAAGAAGCTAAGGTGGTATGCTACTAACTACTTAAATGATTCTAGTAGGTATAATTCTTGTTTCTACGGCTACTTCTTTCTGTTCAAGGCTAGAGTTGATAATGGCGAAGTGACTCCCATATCCCTTCTCTTCGGTGGAACACTTGTTATTCGTTCATCTTATAAAAAGTCTCCGAAATTAGCCGAGAAATCTGATATTGGTATGAAGGAGAGGTTTTTTGTTCTCCCCCTGGAAATACTTGATAATCGAATAGGAACCTTGGAGGAATGTTTGAAATTTCTTTCCAAAGGTGAAATTCTTAGTGATTTCAAGGACCCTGAAACTGGTCAGTGTGTTGTTATGAATCGTCGAGTTTTTATTGATTATCTACCACCTATCCTCATGCTTCAACTCAATCGATTCTTCTACTCTCCTGAACACGGTAGAATTGAGAAGGTGCTGAAGGCAATTCCAATTAAGAGGCATCTAATCATTGGGAAAGGTAATATTCGAAAGATATTAGTAATTGATAAATTTCGGTTAGCTTTATTTCATATTTTTTGATTTTAGATATTGTCTCAAATGAGCATACATTTTCAATCGGTCAGGGTAGTTATGAACTGAAAGCGGTAATTTTTCACCTCGGTTATACAGCTGAACGGGGTCACTATACAGTTGCTACCCTATCTCCAGAAAGTTCTGGAAGTGAAGTACTGTACTTCGATGACATCAATGTCTTCCAATTTGGTGATAGATCAGAAAAGTATTGGGAAGACCTCTTTTCATCCCACAGACCTTTCGATGTGCGTGGCAGTCAATTCGGTATGTTGAAACCTCCGCCTTCTGAAAAAGGGAAACCAGGACCTAGGATTACGGAACAACCTCGAACACCATATATCCTTGTGTACACTTCCTCTTTTCAGAAGAAATAGAAATTATTCCAATAAATGTCATTTATCGCTGCATATGGCAAGCGTTCTTTTAAAATGGCTTTGAAGCAGATAAACGTATCTATACCCCTAGAAGTACCGGGATTTTATGAAAATCCGCCCAGGGCGGTTAAACGGAAAATTCCATTTCATGAAAATATTTTCGAAATCAAATAAACGCCCATAGACGATAATGCAGAGGTAAAATAAATAAAAATAAACACATATGCCTCCGGGTGCTTTTAGCATGCGTATTAAGCATTCAAACTGGCTCGCTCCGGTAAAACAAAAATTGGCAATATTGTTTGTCAAGTGCGTTTGATGGCTCAATATCGAATTACGACACGAATGTAAGCGGCCATCAATCACGCCAGACAATGTCACACTAACATTCACACTGGTCGATCTATATTGTGCTCCATTAAAACCCGAAAACTAAACAGATGAAAACAATGAAAGTTGAGAAATAACGGTTCTAGCTCAAAGAAATTCTCTGCCTATACAACATTTATTTAAATGTAGTGCTTGTAATATGAACAATTTTAAACTTGCGTCGACGAAGAAGTGGTACTAGAACAGCTGTAACTCTAATTAAAACAAAACTAATAATTTAACTTCATGTCATCAATAGATGACTTTTGGGATCCATATTAGAGGTTAATGGTTAAAGAATCTTTTAAAAATGACTAACAGTACGTTCCACTTTGGATCAAGCAAAGTCAAATAATTTTTTGTAGTACTACTAAAGAAGAAGATATTCAAGATAATTATTTCACAATCGATCAGCCTTACATGAATCAGAATAAATCAGAACGTGCATTCATTTTCTAAATCTTAAGAATTACAGAGATAGGAATATCAATATAGTAAGGCATATAGATGAATCATATATGAAACGTAAAGCTGGAAAAGAGGCATATATTCAGGTCAGGTCGTTAAAATTTGGTGATTTTGCTAGTAAATGAAAGTTGGCAGTTATTTTCGCACTTCACTGTAATCGTGTGATTAACTCTTATACAGTAATATACCAGCCAAATTTAAATTTATGCAAATCTGAAAAAAATATTTTCATATTCGAGACAGTGCACCTTTTAGAAATTGAGCAAGCTTTGGTAGTTCTAGGAAGGCAATTTCTTTGTTTTTAACCTAAGGAGATTCTTGTTTTTTCGTTATCATAAGAAAGGTTAAAATTTTTTAAGCGTGTAAAATAAAGCTATGTAAAATGTCATATATATATTAATTAAAAAATATTGAATACACAAGACTATTTGCTTCAAATTAAACCAATATAAGTTTATCACCTGTGATTTTAATAAACCAATGTCACTGATTTACATCTACTGTGGTCCAAATTTGAGGTCACGAAGTCTCAGCAACATAATCAAAAGCGTTGTGTCTTTTGTCACATGAAATAAGTTCGTATAAAAATATGCTAAGAAGTTTTATTCTTTGTTGTATATTGGCCACAGGAGTGTATATATACCGTTGTACCCTGAGGAAAAATGAATGTTTCATGACGTATACATATGTAACAGCTTACAAATTGGTTTGTCGAATGATTTGTAATATTTTTCAGTTTGTTCCTTTGAACGGAAATGTTTTAGAAGCTTGTCAAAGGTATCAGCTTGGGGTGTACAGAGAAAGGTAAATGTTCTTTTGATCATTTAGTGTTTTAGCGAATATTCATACTTGCCTACGGGGTCGGAAGGGTAACTTGAACTATGCTCTTACTTTCTTTGTCATAGAACTCTCCCCGTCCTATTCATTCCTGGAAGTCAAGGCGATATAAACCAGATTAGATCGATTGCCTCAATAGCTTCTGAGTTATACCTAATAAATAAATTGAATTTTTCTTTTGAATTCTTTTCGCTAAATTTCTTTGAGGTAACAAATTAAATTTTTTTAAGATTAAATCGCTTTATAGGACTCCTCCGCTGTATCCACTGAGATTCTCGAGCGCCAATCGAAATGTGTTGCCAGTCTAATTCCATTCATTTATAGTCTTTTCTCAAAGAAACCAGCACCAATTTTAATTATTGGACATTCGATGGTAGTTAACTTTAATTAATAAAAGTAAAATTGTTTTAGGGTGGCTTGGTTGCCCACCATGCTCTTTCTAGTGCCACTTTCGATCCTTCATTGGTGAATACAGTAATAACTATAGCATCTCCACTTAAATCTCCAGGTTTGTTTTTCCTGCTCTAATTTTTTCCCTTAATTTTAGTAATCTCTCTGGGCTACAATTTGCAATCATTTTATACGCGCGTCCACGACTTTTGGAAAAAAGAAGCTTTGCACCCCAAATATAGCCATATAACTTACCTTTCAATCACTGGAGGAGTGTCCGATCATCTTGTATGAAGGGGCAACTATGTCGTCAAAAATGAAATTACCCTTTTTTACTTCTTTGTTTTTTTTAAATTTTTTTAGGTGTGGGATGGTTTGGGAACTCTTGGATTGCCTGCTGATCGGGCGTTCCACCTCCCCACTCAGGCTGTTAATCGGGTTTGGCTTACTTGTGACCATCTCTGCATCTTGTGGTGCGTTGATTTGCCATTCTTTAACGCATTGTACACATTTTACACCTACGGGCGATGAAGACGCAGAGTTTTGCGCTTTGCATTGATTTAAGATGCAGAAAGTAAAATACAAAATCTCTTAAGAGATTTAAGAGCGTTAATCGGATACTGAAGAAGTTGGGTTTAATCTTAGGTCTGTTGGCAAACACTAGCACTTAATAGCCCATATTAGATTATATCTTATTTTTTATATTAAAATTTCACAAACCATTTCTAATTCATTTTGTCATTGCTAAAGTAACAATTCTTTTTTAACTGTCTGGTTTTCTTAAAGATTCTAGTGAGCATTTTGACATATATATATATATATATATATATATACTAAAATTTGCTTTTAAAAGGCCATTTATTTGAGGATCTTGCCAAAATCATAGGATATGTGGTTTTCAGGTTTTAGTACATTGAAGAGAGTACTCTTGCCTCAATTCCCCCCCCCCCCATTATGGCCTTCTCCTCCTCCGTTGACGATTGATTATTTGTAAAATTGCAAGGCAAACAGAGAAGAAAGGCTGTTTTCGCCCCCTGTTGCACATATTTTATCCGAAACGAAGATTCTTGAACGAACAGGACTCATGTGGACTGTCCTATGGATAAATTTCAGGCTAATTTTAAATTCTTGATTGAAATTACTGTTTGTGGGGGTGGGGGGGGGAGGGATAAGAGTCCTGGGCACTTTGTTTCCAATACGCCTCTCAAATGATACTAGAAAATTTGGTAAAGCTGGACGCAAGGTGTGGAGGCTTTAATCGTATAAGCCTGTGCGTTTCCTTGTTCACACGCCTTCCTCCACTAACAGATCCATTCGAATTGATTGGTTCTCTTGTAATTTCGATATCTACTAAAACAGCTTTTACCCATGACAGTCATGCTTAATGAGTTCAAAAACTTTGCAATCATCAATTTTTCTTACAAAAGTAGTGTGCTTTTGAAATCTCTGCATCACGTCGTCCAACTCATAATTTTGGGTAAAAGTCACGATGGAGGAGGGGGGTGGGGGGGGGGTCATTTATTTTCTAATTGCCCATATTTGTAGCATTGTCCTTTGAATGTTTCTAGCCTTCCCACCTTTTTTCCCTCTCGTTTAGGTGCAGGCAGCTATTGATGCAAATTGACAAGGCCATTTTTGACATTGTCAACGCAACAGAACGAGCGGTAAGAGTTACCTTTGCCTACGTGTTTCTTTAAGCATGTCCTGTCGCCGCCTCCAATTAACGTCACTGACTGCCCACATAAACGTGGATCAACTTATTTGGTTTTTTACTTCATGTGACAGATTAGCCTAGTGATGTAATTACATTATTTTGCACGTGAAGTTGTCTAGAAGGGCCCTTTAAGATAGGCTGCACCAGGGAATGGTGTACTCACCGAGGTAGAATACATCTGAAGGTGACGGAGATGCGAGAGGGGGATAATTTACTTTCAGGGATTAGGGGCATTGAGTTTAGTTATCCACCAAACCTGCCGCTGTCCTTGGCATGCTCATGGTCTATTGGCTTACGTAAAAGTAAGCCAAATTGTTACAATTATGAATGGAGCATAGAACGAATTTCTCGTATACTTCTGTCAAATGGCCCATTGGTGTTAAATGAAACAATCAACGTGTTCACTTGGCCATTGTCACGCATCCACTGAACTGTAGGAATCAAGGTAGCGGGGGGAAAGAGACACGATGGAGAGGGGGAGTAGTTTCATTATGTGCCTCCCTCCACTAGATGATTGACGGAAAACTCGTTTCTTGAATTCATAGTTTTTGGAAGTTGGGTTTTATTTGCAAAATATTCTGTGTGGGGGGATAGAAAAATCGCAATTAATAACCTTTTTTCCAGTAAGAGGTAATGTGAACACCTCTCAAGGACCCAAGGTTTAATTGTGAAAACACTTCTCTTAAGTGCATTGAAACATTTGTGTCTATTAACTGCGGTGGATTTAAAAATTATGAGTTATAGGTTTAGTAATGCCACGATTTTGCTGTGAATTATTGCATTGATGCTTTCTCGTGAAAATATTTTACTAATCTTTTCGTGAAAACACCTCATATTTCTTTAGAGATGGAGTGCAATGATTCGTTTTTGGTTATTTAATAGACTCATACCTTTTTCTGCGTTCCCTCTGCATATTCATGAATTTCTTTGGCCAGGATCACGATCACATCAATTTCGGGTTTATTTGAAAAAATATTATTTGACCCTAACGTCACCTGTGACCATATTGTTTCCTTAACCTTGCCTTGTCTTGTCTTGTCTTGTCTTGTCACAAGCTGAATCAGTGTCCACTGTTCTGAGGACGCGTGGACTGATTTATATGTCATTGACAAGCATCTAAAGAGTGAAGGAACCATTCATACTCGCAGATTATCTTGGCAGGCTCTATCGAAGTATATATACACACACATATATACATATATTTGTTCTCTCATTGTAGTATCTCAATAGCCAGGATCGAATTAGGACTCTCAAGAACATCCTACTCTCTCGCTCGGTTCCTATCGAGCCTTCACGTAGTCCTCCTGGTCGTGTGGCAGCTTCTTCTGCCTTATCTCCTGTTGGGGTCAACAAGCATTGCAAATGGATTGATCGAAGTGGGGGATCTAGTGGAGTATTTGTTACTCGTATGGTTAGTTTTTTTTCTCTGGAATTTCGGTCGCAAAGCCTCTTTCCGTGATTTCATTTCGCAAAAAAGTGTGTAGAGCAAAAGTCCAGCACTTCTAAAGAAAGCTTGAAAAAGAAAACAGCAACATTATAGATTCCCTGTATGGGTGAAGAAGAGGGGAGGGCCTTTCTTGCTAGTCCTCTATGTCATGGACAAATTTCAAAACTTCCACTTTCATGTAATACTGAAAGTATAGCTTGAGACCGACAGGATAGTTCTTAGTTTTGAATGATTCATCAATATTTGGTGGGCGACATAATACTCCCCTCCTCCACAACTCAAACCACTTTTTGATTTAGTTTTTTACTAGTAATTGCTATGTATTCGCTAATCATCCTAAATATCCGCTTTCAAATGCCACTGGTGTGTGTGTGTGTGTTTGTTTTAAATGACTCTACTGATGATCTAGTTTTTTTAGTCGAATTGAATGGGTTCTAATTAGCCGGCTTTCTTTTTAGAGATTAGCTTAAAACTCATTTTTTTTAGTAAAAGAAACGCCCACCTCCAAGAGAGTGAGAGAATAATTCACCACGAAGTCACATCTTGGTAAATTTATCAAATATTACAATTGTGTAGAGGATTTTTTCTACGTTTAGAATCTAGAAATACCTCCATTGTGTGGTAATTTCAAATATTGTACAGAATTATCGGCTTTTCTTGTTTTGATTTCCTCTCAATCTCAAAATCAAAAAAAAATAACTTGAGATGCACATGATTATACGTAATTTAAGGTTTGATTTTTTACCCTATTTTGACCAGTTTTACTTGGCATGAAGGGGGTGGGGTTCAGAACCAGTCGTCAGTTGAGATTGGCTATTAACGTATCCCAAATCCCCCCCCCCCAACTAGCAGAACTTGTCTCAATGGGACTATTAGGAAAAATTGATCCAACTATGAACCACCAACCACATTATTACCAATGAATTGGTAGACTAAGCTAGCAATTTCTACAGTTTGTTTGAGTGTGCGCTTGTCAATACGAACGCAGGCGGGTTTTGAAGCCCAAGGTCATTGTTGCATGTTGATGGTAATGGTCATTGAGGGAAGGTACCTTTTAATACAATTTGGTTCAATCTTAATACTCCTCAAAGTCTCATACGTCTATTCATTCTTTATTGCCCCTTCTGTAAGACGCCTTTAAAAGGTACCTTTTTATTCCCTAATAGCTTTGCGGCAACCAATCCCTCTAGATTAATACTGTTGGATGACAGTTATTACCTTTTGTCTCATTTGAAAGATTTTGTTCATTTGGATCCCGTTACTAGTCACTATAGGTCAAGCATAAATGCGAGTAATCGTTTTGAATTACATTTAATATATTTCATCGAAAGTTTCTTTTTTATCAAAATAACCTGCTCTACAATCTAGAAGGTGGTTTAACTTTTAACATTTGATAATACTTCTACAATGTCCTACTAAATCCTGCTACTTGTTATTCTTTTTTGCAGACCTCAGTCTGCACATACCTGAAAGTTGGGCCAATAAGGGGTCACCAAAACGAACGCCTCATGCTATTGGCCAATAGTGTAAGTTGTGCGAATACCTCCTGTCATCACATTTGCCATTGTCAATGTTTATGGAATTGACTCTCCTTGAATTAAATCGTCTAATTATATTTTTTTTTCGTGTGTGTGCTCTACCTTGCAGATGAATGTGAAAGGTGTTTATCTTTGCAATAATTCAACTGGAACTGTACCATGGTGAGTCAATCTTTTATAACCATTTCTTCATACATCCGAAAGCGTGATAATGTAAGTAGTTGGTGTCGCCATTGATATTTATTCATTTATATCAAATGACAGGCTTTATAATAGGCATCATTAGTCCTTTAGTTGATTTAGGGCTTCACAGAGGGGAGGAACAGACAATGCCACAAAACGTCGAGAAGAGGAACCGGAGAGAGTGATTTGCAGATATAAAAGAGACAGACACAAAGGTAGGGGAAAAGCAAGGTGAGTACTGTGGAAGTAGTAGAATGCGACATTCGGTGTGTTCATGGTAGTTTGAAGTGAGAAGTCAACTGCCGGTTTATAGACTTTTTTGCCGTTTAAGTATACGTTGTCCAGGGTGCACCACATGAAGGTAAGTCTATCGTGCACCCCTCGCGGTTGATATTAAATAGGTGAAAGATACGGACAAAGCGCTACAATGGTATTCGCAAAATGATTAATTGTAGTGTCTTGCACCTTTATCCGTCCCCTTCACCCCC